CTGACTCTGTGATACATAGGGACACTGAGACACTGGGTGATGTGCGAGACGGAGACACTGGGAGACAGGGAGACACTGGGAGCAATTCATCTATACAGCAAAATCAAACTGTGAATAGTTTGTTGGTAATTTTACAGAATTTTCTCTTATGTCACTCCTTGTGATTTACATCATGTGATGTCACGCATAACTAATTAATTTAACAAATGATTAAGGCTGGTATTTTTTTCCAAGAAACTTGGCAACCCTAACTACTCTTTACATACTCCTGCTTAAAGGAACACTACAGGGTAAGGTACACAATCATGTATTTCTGACATGGCCCCCTCTTGCCTTCCTAAATATAGTAAAATCTTACTTGTATTCAAGTCTGCAGCTGCTGGCTCTGCCTCTGAACTGACTGTCTGCTGACATCATCAGAAGTGGTGGTCTGAGCAAATTACAATGCTTCCCCATAGGATTTGCTGAGACTGTCAACTAGGCAGATCAGGGGCAGAGCCAGCACAAGTCAAACATAGCCCTGGCCAATCAGCATTTCCTCATAAAGATAAACTGAATCAATGCAGCTCTATGAGGAAAATTCAGTGTCTGCATGCAGAGGGTAGAGACACTAAATGTACTGTCCAGTACTGCCCCAGGAAGCACCTCTTGCAGCCATCTAAGGCGTGGCCAGTGGAGTTATTTTCTCTGAAAAGACAGTTTTACTGCAAAAAGCCTGAAGGGAATGATTCTACTTACCAGAACAAATGCAATAAGCTGTAGTTGTTCTGGTGACTATAGTGTCCCTTTAAGATTGGAAGCTTAAGATGGATGTATGGCAACAAAACCCGTGTGGACTGTCTGACAATAAAATTAGTTTAGATAATACAGACTTTGGTTTCTCTAACACTGTGGAATGTCCCCTTGCTTCTACACCCACTACATACACCTTTACTATGTCCCAGACTATATACCAGGAACTTCTGCCTACTAGTAAGAAGGTAAGGAGACAAGTGGACATGTGAGTGCTAGAGGACAGTCCTTAAAAAGCGTGGAGTAGGCACATCATTTGATGCATTTATGTCAAGCTCAGGGTGATGCCTGCATAGTATGCCCTTAGTTGGACAGCCTGCATGATTGGCAGGCAGCCTGACATGCATTCATGCCAGGCTGGCCTTCCAATTCTTTGGACAAACATGCCCCCTTTTTGGGCATGTTCACCCCTTTTGGCAGATCTGGTCATGTGATTCGCGTCAGTGGCACACCCTTTTACCCTGCCCATTGACTTCCTGCTTCAATGAACACTGCTGTTAGGGGGTATGGATTTATTTGAAAGATGAAAGCATAAATTAGAGAGAGATTAGCATAGGGTATGTGTTTTCTTATCTGCATCCTTTGAGTTTCCCTCCAACACCATCTCCATCAGATACATGAAGCTTGGGAGGTATGGTTGTTTAGTGTTTTTGGTCGATAATATTCGGTAATTAGGCCCATCATAATTGTCAGCTCCAGGCCCACTGGGCTCTTAATCTTGCCCTGGTGATCCTTATGTTTAGTTATACCCTCATGCAACGGCTAAGATGTATATTTTATGTACAAACTTAAATAAAATGCAAATAAAAAAAAAATAATAGTAAAGACAAATAAGTCAATGGGACCTGATGGAATACACCCAAAGTTATTAAAAGAGCTTAGTGGTATACTAGCAAAACCATTAACAGATTTATTTAACCAATCATTGTTAACAGGAGTAGTCCTAGAATATTGGAAGTTAGCAAATGTTGTGCCCATTCACAAGAAAGATAGAAGGGAGGAGTCAGGCAACTATAGGCCAGTAAGCCTTACTTCAGTAGTGGGGAAAGTAATGGAAGCCATGTTAAAGGATAGGATTGTTGAACATCTAAAATCACATGGATTTTAAGATCAGAGACAGCATGGGTTTACTTCAGGGAGATCATGCCAAACTATTCTTATTGATTTTTTTTATTGGATAACTAAAATAATAGATCAGGGTGATACAGTAGACATTGCTTACCTAGATTTCAGTAAGGCTTTTTGCACTGTTGCACATAGAAGGCTTATCAATAAGCTGCAATCAAAGTTTGGATTCCAATATTGTTGAATGGGTAAGGCAGAGGCTGAGTGACAGGCAACAGAGGGTTGTAGTCAATGGAGTATATTCGAAGCATGATCTTGTCACCAGTAGGGTACCTCAGGGATCTGTACTTGGACCCATTCTCTTTATTATTTTTATTAGTGATATTGCAGAAGGTCTTGATGGTAAGGTATGTCTTTTTGCTGATGATACTAAGATATGTAACAGGGTTGATGTTCCAGGAGGGATAAGCCGATTGGCAAATAATTTAGGTAAACTAGAAAAATGGTCAGAGTTGAGGCAGCTGACATTTAATGTGGATAAGTGCAAGATAATGCATCTTGGAGTAAAACTCCAAGGGCAGAGTACAGAATAGTGTCCTAACCTCAACATTTGAGGAAAGGGATTTAGGGATAATTATTTCAGATGACTTAAAGGTAGGCAGACAATGTAATAGAGCAGCAGGAAATGCTAGCAGAATGCTTGGTAGTATAGGGAGAGGTATTAGCAGTAGAAAGAGGGAAGTGCTCATGCCATTGTACAGAACACTGGTGAGACCTCACTTGGAGTATTGTACGCAGTACCGGAGACCGTATCTTCAGAAGGATATTGATACCTTAGAGAGGGTTCAGAGAAGGGCTACTAAACTGGTTCATGGATTGCAGGATAAAACGTACAACATGTATAGCTTGGAGGAAAGACGAGACGGGGGGATGTGATAGAAACATTTAAATACATAAAGGGATTCAGCATAGAAAAGATGGAGACTATATTTAAAAGAAAAAAAACTAATAAATCAAGAGGACGTAGTCTTAAAGGGACACTATAGTCACCCAGACCACTTCAGCTCAATGAAATGGTCTGGGTGCCAGGTCCCTCAGGTTTTAACCCTTCAGAACTGCTATGTTTACATTGCAGGTTTAAGACAACCTCTAGTGGCTGTCTTCCGGACAGCCACTAGAGGCGCATCTGCGACACTGGAGGCATATTATGCCTCCATCACGCAGAGCGTCCAAAGGAAAGCATTGAGAAATACTTTTTTATGGACACTTTGAATGCGCATGCGCATTCGGCTCCATTGACATCGGCAGAGGGAGCTGACGTCGGCGGGGGAGGAGAGGTCACCAGCGCCAAGGGAGCCCGGTGCTGGAATTAGGTAAGTGACTGAAGGAGTTTTAACCCCTTCAGCACCACTATGTTTTCCTGACACTCTAGTGATCCTTTAAATTAGAGGGGCAAATGTTTAAAAATAATATCAGAAAGTATTACTTCACTGAATGGGTAGTGGATGCATGGAATAACCTTCCAGCTGAAGTGGTAGAGGTTAACACAGTGAAGGAGTTTAAGCATGCGTGGTATAGGCATAAGGCTATCCTAGCTATAAGATAAGGCCAGGGACTAATGAAAGTACAGAATCCAGTCATCCAGTTCACTCCACAAGGAGTTCGCTGGTGGATGTCTTCATGATCCAGTCAATAGCGATGAGGAAGAGGAACAGGGATAACAAGCATCCTTATCTGACTCCAGTCTTCACCTGAAAGTTATTGGTGAGCTGTCCTCCATGGATCACTCTGCAGGTCATTCCCTCTTGATTAGGTTGACCACCTTGGCTGGGATGCCGTAATGCCAGAGGAGCTTCAAAAGGACCTCTCGATCCACACTATCAAACGCCTTCTCATAGTCAATGAAGTTAATGTACAGTGATGAGTTCCACTCCAAGAACTGCTCGACTATGATGACAGCATTGCATTCTGGTCCATGCATGATTGATTCTGCCAGACGCCTGCTTGTTCATCTCGTAGTTGTGAATCAACGACGTCCTTCATCCTCTCTAGGAGTATCCGGTTGAAGACCTTGCCTGGCACTAACAGGAGTGTGATACCTCTGTAGTTGTTACAGTTGCTGAGGTTACCTTTCTTTGGAAACTTGATTAGATAACCCTCCTTCTAGTCAGTCGGTATCTCTTCTTCCTCACAGATCTTCTCGAAGAGTGGATACAGCATCTCCACTGATGATTTCAGGTCTGCTTTCAGGGCCTCTGCTGGTATGTCATCAGGTCCAGCTGCCTTCCCGTTCTTCATCAGGGTGATGGCCTTCCCGATCTCTTCTCTAGTCCGCTTGCCGCAGTTGATGGGGAGATCTTTGTTGGCTGGGTTGATGTTTGGTGGATTTGGTGGTGCTGGTCTGTTCAGAAGCTCCTCAAAGTGTCAGACCATCTATTCATCTGCTGCGCTAGTCCTGTGATAACCTTTCCCAACTTGTCCTTGACGGGTCATTCTGGCTTGCTGTACTTCCCAGACAGTTTCTTAGTCATGTTGTACAGCTGTTTCATGTTGCCGTTGTATGCTGCCTGTTCTGCTTCAGCTGCCAGTCCATCTATGTAGTCTTTCTTGTCCTTCCTAATGCTCTTCTTCACTGCTCTGTGGGCTTCTGCGTATTCCACTTGGGCCTTGGCTTTTTCTGCCCTGGTCCTGTTGTTTACTGCCACCTTCTTCTGTTTTCTCTCTTCTATCTTGCCCAAGGTCTCAGCTGTGATCCACTCTTTGTGATGATGTTTCTTTGCTCTGACCACTTCTTGACAGGCTGTTCTCAGTGTCTCTTTTATTGTCTGTCAGCTGACCTGTACACTGCTTCTTTCTTCTTTCTCATGCAGCTCATGTAGCACCTCAAACTTGTTCTTCAACTGAAGTCCAAACTCCTCCCTGACACTGGTGATCCTTAGGCGGCTGACATCATACTTCACTCTACACTGTGTTGTTTTCATCCAGTTCTTCTTTAACTTCAGCTGCATGCTAGCTACTACTAGGTGGTTGTCGGACGCCGCATCTGCTTCTCTTCCAACTCTAATGTCCTGCAGGGATCTTCTAAACTTCTTGCTAATGCAGATGTGGTGAATCTGTTTCTCTGTCACACTGTCTGGTGATACTCAGGTGTTTTTGTGGATCAGCTTGTGAGAAAAGATGCTACCTCCACTGACCAGGTTGTTGAGCGCACACAATTCCGCAAATCTCTCCCTATTATCATTCATCACTCTCAGCCCGTGTATCCCTATGACTTGTTCATATCCTGTGTTGTCGGGTCCAATCTTGGTGTTGAAGTCTCCCATAAGGATGATGATTTCTCTGGCTCGGAATGTCTCTACGATTTTCTGCAGTCTATTGTAAAACTCGTCATTGTCTTCTTCATCGGAATCATTGGTTGGAGTGTAACTCTGGATGACGTTGAGCTTCACCTTCTTCTGCTTGATTCTGAAGGATGCTGTGATGATTCTGGGGCCGTGCGCCTCCCATCCAATCAGTGCCCTTTGTGCTTGCTTGGACAACATAACATCAGTCTCCTCTGTCCGGCTTGTGTCCATCTGGTTTCGCTGATGCCCAGTATGATCAGGTTGTTCTTCTTCATCTCGGCAGATACCTGCTTCATCTTGCCTGTCTCGTACATGGTCCTGACATTCCATGTGCCGATATGGGTTATCTTGGTCGAAAGAAGGGTAATTGGCTCGGTGGCTTCCTTTCGTCTTTCACCACCTATCGTCATGCATTTCCGAATTGTCAGAGGTCCTCCATCTTCCAGGAAATTACTCTCTGTTTCTCTTTTTGGCATTTCTGTAGCGGTTGAGGTTTTTCCAGGGTGAGGTTGCTAGCCCCACACCCAACCCTCCTCCTTTTTCATCCGGGCTTGGGACCATCAATGCCATATTTTTACATTATTTCCCTATCCAGTGATCAGTGCACTGGCTCTGCTTTAATGTAAAGCAATGCACAATTTTCGTGAAATTTATGTCTGTAACTGATTATGGACTTTTCTGACACTGTATTTAAAAAAAGAATCACCAACAGCAATAGCATGTTTTATTCCATTTACCTGCAGTTCCATAAATGACCACTAAGGGCGTCAGAAGTTATATAGTATCTAGATGTACAAGTAATGGAACTCAGAAATTATTTAAAGGCACACTCAGGACCCCTAAAGCAGTTTAGCTTGCAGAAGTGCTTTATGCGTAAAGAGTGTGTCCTCTTTTTTTTCCATATCACAAAAAGTAGAAACTGAATAGAAATGTGTGATTTTATAACCTTGTTACACCTCCCTGGCTGTCAATCAGACAAAATGTATGTATGTTTTCATTGGGTGGATATTTACTGAACAGTGATCTATGTATTTTTTATTTTTTTGGGGGGGCAGGGGGGGTAGCAGTGAAGTGTTCATTTAATTCAGATGGATGTCCTTTGACATCATTTGTAATAATGATACAGTAATGTATTGTCATGTCTTTAATAACATTAAAGTTAAAGGGGAACTATAATTACTATAGTTAAATAAGCTAAAGTTGTTTAAATGCACATAATCTGTAATCAGTTTTATAAATGTCCACTATATACATTTAATTTCTATAACTTTCTTTTACCAGTTTCTAAATAAATAATTTTGAATCTAATATCTATATCATAATCCGGACTGCAAAAATTAGATTGACATTTTCTTTTCTAATTGCATATTGACTTTCACCTCAGTTTATTGTTATATATTCTTTGTTTTATATTTTTTCAAACAATATAATCTGATTCACACAACTTCGAGATAAAAAGACTGCTGTACTAATCTCAGTTGTAATCTCTTGAGAGAACACCAGCCATTGCTTGGAATAATTGCTTTTTGCATGCTTGCATACAAATGGGGGATTACAATACATGTCCCAGTTTTCACCCTACCTGTCAAGACCTCATTTGCATATTGTTTGACAAATGTAGGTTTTTGTTACATGAAATAAAAGTAACACTACCAAGTATACTTTTCTTGTGGTTTTTATAAGAAACTATTTAAATAGGCAAACACAGATTAAACTATAAATTTTAAAAATTGTCAATATTACATCTTAATAATAATATTTTTAAATGTATATTCATCACTAACTCAATTTGAATTTTCCACAATGGTCATTGTAGTAGGTAAAAGCAATAGCTTGATTAATGTATTAACGGAGAACTGTTTACGTATCACTTAATTTAAAGGAACACTAAAGAGACAGAAACACAAACGTATTCCTGATCCTATAGTGCTAAAATCACTACCTAGCCCCCCTGCTTCTCCTTGCCCCCCTAAATATATTAAATCTTACCTTTATTCCAGTCTGATGGTGCTGGACTGCCCCATATTTGCCTTCTTGGTTGACATAATTTCCCATAGAAAAACATTGAATTGGCTGAGATTGTCAATTCCGATGATCTCAGTCAAAGAGGTGAGTCAGGGAAGAGCCAAATGCCACCGTGGCTGAAAGATCGCCCTCCCGCTCGGCGGAGGAGGGATTGATCCTACAGACAATATGTGGATGGAAAACACTGAGGACTCAAGACCACGTGTCCCCTATGCCCAGCCCAATGATACCGATCACGTCTAACACAGCTGTTGGGGGGGGACTCCCTCCTGCAGCATTTCCCTTCCAGGATACTGGGGCATACATACCCATACATAAGGCACTCGAAGGCGGGAGGATGCGAGACCTCCCCTCGATGCTAGGCGATAGACCACGGACGCCTATCCTCCAATTTAGATATCTACAACTGAAACACTTTTACGATTCCTTCCCGCACAAAGATCGCTTGCATAGAGACCTCACGTGGTTTGAGGGCCTCTGCGACCGAGGCACCAACATAGAACATGCCATCTCAGCGTTATACCAACATCTTCTAATCGGAGGCACCCCTACGGCTACTACGTTCAAAAGGCAGTGGGAAGAACAACTAGGAATAACATTTACAACACAGCAATGGGATACGGCGTTGCTTTGGCAGCATAAGAGCTCTATGAGCTCATACTACCAGGAGATGAATTATAAGTTGATATCTTTCTGGTATAGAACACCAGTTCTTCTGCACCGCATATTCCCTTCAATTCCTCCGATGTGTTGGAGGTGCCAGGAAACACGCGGCACAGTACTGCACATATGGTGGGAATGCAGGGTTATCATCCCATTCTGGCAAATGATTAGAGAAGAAGTGACGATCATCCTGGGAGACTTACCGGAATGGAATGCGGAATTGGCATTGCTACACATCTCGACACAACCCATAAGATCATATAAGAAATCGATACTACGACACCTGCTTAATGCTGCCAAGGCCACTATTCCAGTCCATTGGAAAAAAAGTGAAATCCCGACCAAAAAAGAGTGGATCCGTAGAGTGGAAGAGATCCAAGGAGCAGAAGAAGCACATGCTATTGTAACGGGAAGAGGGACCAAGCACACGGAGATGTGGACGCCATGGTTCCTATACATATCTCGCTATCGAGGAGACGGAGCCGCACAGGGGCCCGCGCCGGGGGCGCAAGCAGGGTCAAACAGTGCCAGGGGGACCACACCCTAAGAGGCCCGACCGCCACTGCTCCTCACCTCTTCCTTACCCCTTATCCTTGAGCACCGGGACCGAGTGGAGGGGGGGTCGGGGCCGAGTAGACTGACTGTGGGATGGATAGCCAATACAACATTTCACAAGGATTCCAGGGAGGCACAACGTACACTAATAGAGGGATACTAATAAATGCACAGAGATTTGAATAGGCCTGGGAGACACGGGTCACACTGTGGCTCAGATACCTGACGAGTAGCCAGGATTATGACACACTTGTGAATAAATAACACTAGATAGCCGCCAACCATATCTTCCTCATACACTAGGGTAACACTCAGGCTAAATAACACCACGATAAGTACCACACTGGGGCCAGACACGAGCATCTGGCTACCACAATTGGGTGAAGGGACTCTCGAACGCTACACGAGCTCAGCCATAGGTAACAATCAAGGGAATACTGGTGCTCCGAGTAGTGAATACCTGTTATAAATGACACAAAGCTCCCACCTGTAATTGTTACACATGAAACTGTACTGTCATACAAGAAATGGATATGCTTGTCCCTCACTATGGGTTAAGAGTACCCGATATACACCTTGGATAGTTATTACGGACCTGCGTGTCCACTCATTTCGTAAAACAAGCTGACTCATAGGCATGCAAGCTTGGTAGGGGGTGGATCTATTTAATAATTTATTTTATTTATGTTTTATTTCTTTTCTCCTTTTCTCATGGATCACCAGTTTTTCCTACCTCTGTTACACTTACAATGTATGCGTACCTAGACCTGCGAGTCTTTATACTGTTCTAACTGCTGACTCTCCAATTTACTAAATAAACATATTTTCAAAAAAAATGCCACCGTGGCCAAACAGCATTTCCTCATAGAGATGCAATGAATAAACGTATCTCCATTTTTTAAGGGTACACTGCCACTTCTCTGGAAATTTATACCATTGAATAAAACAATGAAAATATCCTATAACTTATATTAAAGGACACTCCAGACCCATTATGCATGTTAGCACTGCCCCAGAAAACACCTCTAGTAGCCATCTGAGGAGTGGCCAGTGGAGGTATAGCCTAGGCTGTAATGAAAAGACAGTGTTTACTGCAAAAAGTCTGCAGGGAATGATTATACTCACCATAACAAGCTGTAGTTGTTCTTATCACTATAGTGTCCCTTTAACTATCATGTGTTTGAGTGATATGAAAATTAAAATGAAATCCTTTGTCCTGGAACTGAGTGCCTCCATATTCCCTGTCATTGGTATAAATGCCTGAAAGTCGGTAGAGAGAAAGCATACACCGAAGAGGAGAAATTAAGCTAAATTTTTTTTTCGTATCTTCACTTGCAATGTGTGCCTGGGATTTGACTTGTCTGAACTGGATTATAATGCCATTTGTTAAATCCTTAATATAAATGTAAAATTAAAATGAAGTTTCTTATGGAAAAAGGTTAAAGGAACACTTCATTGCCCATATCCCAAAAAATATAACTCATTCACTCCCCTCATACACCAGACACTGGGAGCATGACTTAAATATATCCCTCACCACACATCAACGGCAAAAAAATCTTCCAGGTTATGTACTCCCCGGCAACAAGCTCAAGATACCTGGAGATTGGTCTAAATTGCTTACAAGATGGTACCGCATCTCAGCTAAACTGAATGTTTAAAACCCGTCTATCTCTTTAACATGCTGGCAATGTAGCACACTCCTCCACATATGGTGGCAATGCCTCCCAATCCAACAATATTGGGGTGATGTGCTTCCACTTATTTGAACAATCAGCAGTTACAGCATCTCACAAAACCCAGCTGAGGTAATGCTCCATCATACCGACATCCCCTTGGCCAAGTTATCGGATCACTATAGGGTCAGGAAAACAAACATGTATTCCTGACCCAATAGTTTTAAAACCACCATCTAGCCCCCCTGGGCCCCTCATGCCTCCCTAAATATAGCAAAATATTACTGTATTCAAGCCAGAAGTTGTAGATCTGCATGCTGTTTGCCTAAAAAAAAACAAGCAGTCTGCTGACATCATCAGAAGTGGTAGCCTGATCCAATCACAATGCTTCCCCATAGGATTGGCTGAGAC